AAACTAGACAGATAAAATCTTTAAGTAAAAAGTACTATCAATCAAGTTACTAGAATTTTAACTAAAAAACCAAAGAAAAAGAATATTAAACCAATCTAATATACTATATAATAATTATAATTTTACTAAACTATCTGAATAAGTAATTTAAAAACAAAAATAATAATATACTAAATTACTAAAGATATGTTGTAAAGTAATATTAAAATTTAAATAAACTTTGCAAAAACATAGTATTGTTAAAGTTTAAAAAATAAATAAGTAAATTAACAAGAAATCCTCTAGGTTTTATTAATAAGTAACAGATTTTGAAATATGCTACAAACTGGATACTAATATAAAAAAGAATAATAAAAATAAAATCAAATCTGAATAATTCTCAATATAAGACAATACAGAATTGTTTGTCTTAAGAAAAATAGTTAAAATTATATAAGTACTAATTAGATAAGTTAAAGAGTTTAAATAAGATATCTACAAGTAAGAGTTAGATATAACAGATAATGAGTAATCTTAAGACAAAACTCTTAAATAGACAATAACTAAAGTTATACATATAACTAGCTTAGAGGTAGGATCCATCTATTCATTCAGATAAATCAGAGTTTATCTGTATCTGTTCATTTATTTTTGACTAACTCTAGCAGATATTTGAATAAACTAAATAATATTAAAACAAAAAATTTTATTGAAAATTGGCAAAATTAAATTGGTAGTTCTAATTATAATTTTACAATAATATTGAATTTTAAATATTCCAAGATTATAATATATATATTGAACTAAAATTAATATTTTATATAGCCAATAACTTATAGCATGCCAACTTTAGAAAGAACTGAATAATAATAATGCAAGCTTTTATTTAAAGCAGTTTTGATTTGTTTAATAAGCTTATCAAAATTTTGGGATATATTAAATTTTTTTTTTTTTTTTTGAATTTTGGCAACAATGCCAGTTGGTTTATTAGCTTTAATTTTGATATAGTACAAATTTTACAGTTACATTTTAGGATCAATTATTATTAGTACTATATATTATCTAATTTTACATCACTGACTTCACCTGATTATCTATATGGTACCTAAATGCATGTCTGCCACATGCCTGCATGCAGTTATCTTAACAATCACTTGCGGTCAGGGCACACCATTAAATCACTATACAGACAAGAATATTTACTGAACTTAATATGGTATTTCAAATGATAGAGGTACTGTCTTCTGTAAATTGTATCTATATGTTTTACTCATATGTTTTACCTAGTCTTGTTTCTTCTGTCTCTTAATCTAACTATATCTAGTATTACCTTGTTTCTTCTATTTCTTACTTTTTTGGCACTGTACTACTTCCAAATTGGTCCTACTCAGGTATGTTTGATCTTTATGATCTTTCTATCTTTGGTATGCCTGTTATTGATTCCTCTAAGGTGTTCTGACAATAGTTCAAGATCTGCAAAGAACCTGTATCTTAAGTCAAATCTGCTACCACTATTGGTTTTTTTGACCAATCTGTATCTCAAGTTAGGTCTGCTGCTGCTATTTCTGCAAATGCCCTAGATCTTAACATTATACAGTAACTTGATGCTACATTTAACCTCCAATATGGTGCTCCTTTCTATAGTGGGAACTGAAACTTGTTGTGCTTACAAACAGGACAATTCTGGTTATACTTAGAGAGTTTCTCTGACTCTAATGATACTATACTACTATATATTGCAAGCTCTTAGCTTATCTGATAATACTTGCAGAACAATTCTGGTTATGCCCCAGAGAGTTATACTGACCCTAGTGATGCCATACTACCTTGCAGATCTTATCTCATATTGGTTGGTTGATCTCAGTCTTGTTCATCATAGACTTCCATATAGGTATGACCAGAAATCTGATTTGGTACTTTTACATTGCACAAGGAAATTATATGCCAACCTTCAAGATTTTTCCTTTCTATAATTAATATATTAATTCAGATTTGGCAAGTTCTATTATTTATCTTATCTATTTTCTTATCTACATCCTCATAAATAATATTATCTTCAAATGCAGTTGCACTTGATTCAAATTTAATCATTATTGAATTATCATTAGTATCTAATGCAAGATTAGAAACTAAAATTGAAATTATATAAAACATAAAACTAATTATTGAATAATTGCTTTCTCCTAAAAATTCTGTTGTATCAGTGAATGGTTTTAATACAGAAAGAAGATTTTTAATAATATTCTACTCAGTATTAGTTAAATTAATTTTTTTAAATTGTCTTACTTCTTATTTTAATTTACTATTTTAGTTTATGTTTCAAGTATACTAATCATTATATTTATTGCAGATTATAATTTTATTAATCTTTTCTATACAAGATATGATGAGTTCTATTGAGTTTTTGTATCTGCAATAAGCTGCAAATAGTAATCTGTTTTATATAAAATCTAAAAAAAATAATAATATTATAATTAGTTAACTAATTAATTAATAAATAAAATAATATTTACATAATATTAATTTTTTTTTAATTACTAATATAAATAAACACATCTGGTCTTCAGATATATTTATTTTTAATTGAACTTGTTCTAACTTTTTACTTTACTTTGGGCTTATAAAAAAATTAATCAATTTCCTAGTCTGAGTAACAAATATTTTACAAAAAATAAGCTCTTTTCTAACTACAAGCTGTAAAGTGTGTGTAGTACATGGTATTTGAGTTAATTCAGGTAAGAACTGTACTGTCTTAACCATATTATTTTCATTATTAGTAGTAATATAAAAAATTCATTTATCTAAATTTCACTTATTAATAATATTATTTACTATATTTGCAATAGACATACTCATATGTAAATATAATAAATATTTAAGAGCTAAAAGCAATTCATTTAATTAAAATTTTTATTCAAATATGAACAGGTAATTTCAATATATCTATTTTTGTCTACAAATCAGTTGTTAATAAACTATAAAAAAGTGTTTCTGAAAGTTTATTTATAAACTATTGCTTTGTATATGTGAATGCTTGTGACAACAAAATTTTTATAACTTTTTTAGATAGAAGTTTATAATTAAAAATTACTTTCTTTATTAATTCAATAAATCCATCATCTACAATTACTAAAAGAGGTATTGATTCTTATATATAAAGAATATAATCTTATTATTCAAGATTCATTTACAAATAAAATTTATTTGATTATATTCAATATTTGATACATTATCAATGTTGTCTTTAATAATACTATGTACTGTTTTAAGATGATACCAAAAATTTCCTATTAACTTTGCAGTATTGAGATTTATCTCTTTTCTACATTATTTATATTCATTTTTGGCAAATATATTTACTTTATATTTTCCAACTTGTTTGATTCTATTCTTTTTAAAATAAAGTCACATCTTATTTATCAAATTTTCTTCATTGGATTTATTAGATTCATTGGAAGAAACCAATGCTAAAGATAAAGTATCAACTTTTCTTTTTTTTGAATTTTAAGAATTATTGCTTAAGTTACTTTTATGAATTTCATTCATAGTTAACAAGAATAAGACAAAAAATTTTTTTTATGTTTAATTTTTTTATGTTTAGTTTTTTATTTTTATTTAAATATTCATATATTTTATTTAATATATTAAACTTTTTTTAATTTATCTTTTGACTTTATTATTGTTATTATATCATCATTAATTAATTATCGGATAACCAGATAATCTGGTCTAATTATCTGAAATCAAAATTTATCCGAATAATTATGTCATATTCGGATTATCCTGATCGGTCAGATAAAAAGTTCTATCTCTAGACTAGCTATACTTTCATAAACTATAAATGTGCTTAAAATATTACTAACTAATAAAAATTACCAGTTTGGCTAAGCAATTAACTGCTTATTTAAAAAAAAAGAAAAATAACTAATATAGTACTGATCCTGTAAAATGTAATCATAAATTGCACTATAATAAATTTAGAACCTAATAAACCAACTGGCAGCGTCACCAAAGTTTTAAAAAAAAGAAAATATATTTATACACCGCACCCAGTGATATACGTATCTTATACGTCGCCCTCACATGATTGACCAATCAAATTTCAAGATCAGGTGTAACGTATCACGATCAGGTGTAACGTATCACGATCAGGAAAATTCAAAACAAGAAACCATCTCACGTGCTCTAACAAAATTCCTTGCAAACCTTTCTATTTATCCACAACCTGATCCTACCTAGCCTTAATCCTAACTATTCGAAAAAACCGGTTTAATTTAGGTTACGTTATACTTGACCTTATAAGGCGACAACGTCGCATGCGCGATGTATAAAATTTATAAAAACAACTTTATTGCAGCCCTAACACTGGTTAATTACAAGTAGTTGGGTTTTATAATATATAGTAACTTAAAATTTTAAATTTAGCAAACACTAACTCTAAATCGAGCCAATTTCGATTGTCAATTAAATTTCACGAACGATTTGTTTTAATCTGATACCGGTCTTAGTTTCGGGTATCAGGTTGGAAAGGATGTTTGATCACACGGGTCACGGATCTTGCTTGGTAGTTTTGGAAGTCGAATTATTATAAATGACAGAAAATCGGATATTCATAAATATGTGAATGGAGCATACTTTCGTTGGGTAATTTGCTTCTGGAAGTTTATGATAATGAAGTGTTCGGATCAGAAAAACCTTTGCTGCAAATTATTCATGTGGTATACTTCACATTGGGTTATTCCCAATATTGATGTTAACTATGAACCCTCTTCGGAAGTAGTTCAATTGATCTCTGAAAAACTATTGCGCTTTGGTCTAAACTAGTAGCTCGTAATTGATCTGATAATATATAGATTCTAAATAAATTGCATAATAATAACTGTTGCCAATAACATTTAAACCATTAATCCAAATGATATAATGAACTGCTATGAACTAACTAGTTTGAACTTATCAGTTTTGAATAGAACTAGACCAGATGAATTATTTAACATCCCTAATCCCCACGCTAGAAATTCTAATTATTGTTGAATATCGAACTGTCGGTTTGACCGAATAAAAGTTTCCTTGATATGATCGCATATGATTTTTAGATCCTCAAGACCTTTACGCATTGCTTCAATTGCCGTCGTGTTTTCTAAGAAAAATATAAATTATAGATTGCGATTAATAAATGATTATAATAAATATACTATATTTGCTGCTCAAAGCACTGTTGTACTTTATTGATACTATGTAGACCAATGTTGTATAAGCCTTAATATATTTTTTATTAGCCTCAAGTCTAATTGGCCTTTCGGATGTTCCAATTAGCAAGTCCAATTAACATGTTCAATAACAACGCTGATGTAGACCACACAATTTTTTAATATTTAAAGAATCTAATCCATATAATTGGTTTAAAAATATAAATTACATAAATTCGTTATTATCATACCGGTAGTTTGAATACGAATATTGAGTTTATCTTCTGATGGATGTGGAATAGAATATCCGCAATATTCTACTTCAGGACTATTCAAGCGCATTATTTGGTGAATTTGAATGAATTAACAAATCCTTAGTAATTAGCACATTATTAATATTTAATTCATGAAAGTAAAACGCACTTTAATGTGATTACATATCGTAAAGCGTTTCCCAATGTATGGTCTTCACCATTTATACTAAATGTTAAACTAGTAGGGTCTTTTACTATTCCTTTTTCTGTTTCCTAAGTGAAGAAACCGTAAATGAAAAGTAAAAAGAGAACATGACATAAGCCAGCTTACAAATTCTAACAGATCGTCAGCTATGTTTTCATTAAAAAGAGATGATTGGTCTTCACCGCTATTGCCGTCGTTATCTCCTGAGGTATCCATGTTAAACACAAATTGGAAAATTTTTTCTTAGAGAAATGATTTTCGCTATCGATCAGTTTTATTTCGACTAATAAGAATCAAATAAAATTATTGCATAGCTATAGTGTGATTTTATACCAGAAACGGAGTTTGTACAACTCGGGATGGTCTAACAGGGGGAACCGTCTAATGTTACACGAATCGCAATGTGATCGACACATTGCATATCCCATGTTGATAGATTTTCCACGGGGTTTTTACGGGTGAGATAACAACTGTTCTTATAAATTTTGGGACATCTATTTTACCACTTGATAAGTTTATGATTTCGGTAAGGATCGATATACATAATAATGTGTATATATAATAGCTGTATAATGTATATTATTATTTTTTTATTTTTATCTTTGCTAATGACATTTTCAAAACATATTCGTCTGAAATTTGCTGAAAAATATTTGAAAAACCTTGCAGTTCAGGTAACTGCAGGCATCTAGGTGTTAGCAAGTCAAATTCTTAAACATTTTTAAAGATATGTGTGTGTAGAAAAGCTTCCAGCACTTTTAAGAGGATCACGTTTATTAAATTTGGATAATATAAAACTTTAATAAATAAAAAGCTCAATTGGTATTTGTATTTGTATGAATTAGTAAGATGCAAAAGTTTTTTATTAAGTAATTAAAAAATAGGTGCTAATTATAATGTTATATATATTTAAATCTCACCTGTTTTAAGTTAGTAAAACAATGTTTGCTTTTTTTTTTTTATCATTATTTGGAATATTTTTTTAATTTAGTTAATAAATTTTTATTTATATTGAACAGTTTTTTTATTAGCTTCTACTTGTATAATGTATTTCTTAAGAAAGTTTATACTTAGAACTTTTTTTATATCTTGTTAAATTATTATACAAATCAAGCAAATCAAATAATACTGAACATTAATTTAAGTAAAACTTAATTTTAAATTTTTTTTTTTTTAAGTTAAAGACCCTATCTTAGGAGATGCGATATTTTTATTCAAGTATATTAGGACATGGCATGCCACTGGGGGCTCACCTTATATTGGAGGTTACAACTAATCACACATGCACTTTTGGTGCCTAATTTAAGTAGTCTGCTTACACATTTCTATATAAGTTCTATACTAGTTGCCATACCTGCAAGCCAACAGAGGTTTTTCCTATTTAAATCTTCTGCATATGCAGTTTTTTTTATATCATGGGAACATCTCAAGGCATCACTCATCCAAGTTCCTAATACTTATCAGTATCCTTAGAATTACTTTATCCTCGATAGGAAACTTACTAAAGTCTTTATGTTCTACACATATAGACCTAGTTTTATGTAATACACTATAGTTACCTAATACTTGCAGTCACAGAAGTTATCTGTTTAACCACTATGTTATACTATTTCCGGTGCAGCTTGATTCATTGACAATCAAATCGCTGACACAACACTTCACTGACAATCAATTTACCGACATGTTTGTTTTACAGACAATCAATTCACTGACACTCAATCAATAGACAAGCTAACTTAATCGACAAGCTTATTT